ACCCCAGCTGCTCTGCCCCAGGCGTCCCCAAGAGCAGCTGGGGTGCTGCCGGGTTGGTCTCGCCGTGCCAAGGGTCGGCACTACCGGACCAACCAGGCAGCACTCCAGCTGCTCTGCTGCAGACGTCCCCGATTCAGCCGCTGCTGAAACTGACCAGAAGCGGCTGAATCAGGGACACCTGGGGCAAAGCCGGACTATCGGAAGGGGGGGCTATGAGGTGTCTGGGGTGGCATCCCCCCCACCCCACCCCTCTCATAGCCCCCCCCTTCTGATAGTCCGGCACCCCCTGGGTCCTAAAGGTGCCGGATTATCGGAAGTTTACTGTAGTGTTACTCCTGATGAAAAGCAGGAGTACAGAGTTCAAATTTCATGGCCTGTCATTTCAAAATAAGTGTGGACACTCAGCTTATAAATTAAACTGAGGGGGAAGGGAGGAAGGCTAATTCAAAATAAAGTCCTAGTGTAGACCAAGACCAAGATGCCAGGTAGTACTTATACTGGATCCAGCAGTCCAGCGCATTCTGAAGCATGTGCCAAGTAAGAAAAATGGCCCAACTGGAACTACACCTCTGACTGAATGTTACCAGTGGTCCAAGATCATAGCAAGGCTGCTGACCCCAGTATCACAACCCCTGCATGCTTTAAGAAAATTGGCTTATGAATATGAATATGCATAACTCAAAGACATTTTTAGGCAAAATGCATCATGTAACATCATTTTTAAAGTTTTTAACTGCTGAATGTGTATATTCTATTTCTGTGCAACTATCATTCTTGAATGTGGACTCAGATATATGAAGTGTAAACCTGTTTATTGATCTAAAATTTGCAGAGAGAGCCACTACTGGTACTTCAGGACTTTAATGGCCTGGTGCTCAAGTTACAATCTATGAATGGTTTTGTTTTTTCTGTAAGCCTGGACTGTGGTTGGTTCTGCCAGGCCACCTGATACTGGAATACATTTTGGATCTTGTACCTTTCCACTCAAGGTGAGAAAAGTCTGAGCTGAACACAAAGAATTCTCACCTTCAGCAAAGGGGATATAAAGGTGACAAACCAAACAATAAGATGCCAGGAGACCTCAACTGATCATTCAAGACGCCTGCTTGAAACATTTAAGACTGAACAGAGGAGAGGATCAGGCTCAAGACAGGAGGATGCTTTGATGGTGAAAAAATATAATTAGAACTACTGTTAGGATAAGAATTTGCGTGTAACAAGTTTCTTAGTTTATTAGGCTTAATTGGCATGTTTTGTTTATTTTGGTTTAGTAACTGACTTGGATCTGTCTGTTTTCACTTGCAATCGCTTAAATCCTATTTTTATACTTAATAGAAACACTTTTGTTTCTTATCAAACCCAGTGTAATTGTTACCTGGGAGGGAGGAACAACCATTGTGCATCTCTCTTCTTGATAAAGAGAGCAAGTTTTATTAGCTTTCTCCGTGTAAAACTTTTATACAGAGTAAGATGGATTTATTTGGGGGTATAAGCCAGCTGCTTGAGTCTTGGGTCCCTGACCTGGGCTCAGGCCTGGAAATAAATGGCCAGCAGCACCCTTCAAAACCCAGGCCCTGAGTACAGGGTGGGAAGCAACACCAACGCAGTCCCACAGTCAATAGGGCCTATGCCCTTGTTAAGGCCCCAGAATGGTGTTAATATTTAATGTGGGCACAGATGTTTAGAAACACATCTTAAAAACTTTCAGTTAAAAAAGAAAGGTATTATCAAATGATGTCTTAATCACACTGGCCCTAATCCTACAATGGGATCTGTGGGATCAGTGAACATCAGGATTCCCCATTTCATAGATCGCATTGGAGGATGTCAGCCTATAAACTATTTGTTATGCTTTCATGTGAAAGCAGTAACGAAAAAGTTAAAACAGGATACCTTCAACCTTAGTCATCACGTGTAGGCATAAGCCCTTAGTTAGTGAGTATTTAGTTCACTGAATTTTAAACACACCAGGCTAGAATGTAGCTTTTATAATGAAATGGAGGACATCTCTTTTTGGTTTTTCTGTTAAATTTTACATTGATAAATAAATCTATAGTCATTGCTTATAACAGTCAGTCAGAAAAACACTGAAATTCTCATCTTAGCTCTCAGTTACCATAGTCCTTCTCCAGTAGTTGTTAGTTTTGTTGTTTATAAAAACAACAAAACCAAGCTCTCCCACCACTGTCCAACCATTAGTGCTGCTGTGGCATGATAGCAAAGACGGGAGAGTTGCTGTGGATAGAGCTCAGACTTTTTTACTTCTGTGTTATGCCAAACTCTCCTGAGCAGGCTTACATAAAATGACAGTAAAAATATCTGAGACCTGCAGTACATGGTTCAAATATTAATGGAGGATTAGTGATCATGAACTTGATTTGTGAATAATATTGTATTGTTCAGATTGTATATATGAAAACCGAGCTGTACTTACCCCTGAGAGTTGATGGTCTCATTTGCTTTCTGGAGCAACTGTGATAATATAGTGAAAAGCTTTAAGCGCATTGATGGATCTTTGGTTGGCTGAAGACATGTCTTAAGGACGAGAATGAAATCCTGAAGGGCCTCACCTATTACAGGACCTAAAAAATAAATGTTTAAATCTTGTTGGATTTGTACTAAATATTCATTTATTTTAATCTTACATTTAAATGTTTAGCATATAAATCTAGCAAAATCTGTGAGGTCAACTTCTTTTCTTCTTCAATGCTTAGCCAAACAGCTGGCCATATCAGTAGTTTGCCTTTTGGCCTGATCCCGTGCTGCCACAAAGGCTTGATGGACCAAGAATCCAACATCAATTTAACTTTGTGTGCTGCATCAGTCCTTCCAAAATAACTATCACAGCTGTCAGAGTTCTGAGTGAGACAGAAGTGTAACTACGTTAGAAAGTTTCAGAGGGTAGCTGAGTTAGTCTGTACAGAAAAAACAACAAATGGTCTAGTAGCACTTTATAGACTAACATAACATGTAGATGGTATCATGAGCTTTTGTGGGCTGAAGAAGTGGGCTGTGCATGTTTTGTTAGTCTATAAAGTGCTACCAGACCATTTGTTGTTTTTTATGTTAGAAAGCTCTTCTGCTCCCCACTGGAACAGCGAGGGTTAAAACTCCAAAGCCAGGAAGCAGATGGAGCATGTTAACTATCCTGATTTATTTGTAAGAATGAGGTGAACTGCAGGGAGGGCTTTAAGCAGATAGCATGACCAAGCCACTACTGACTGGTTGTAAACTTCCAGTAGGTTTTAATCTGTATTTGATTCAGACTATTTGCAGGATGGGTTGTATTTTGTTTTACATTGCTCTGAAGAAGACAGAGCAGAAGACTGGTTATAGATTGGCTATTAGCCAAGTGGTACTCTGCTTTGGAGAAGAAGCCTTCTCCCCCACCTTCAGAGCTTGAGGGTGAGCTGCTCGGGCATGCATGGCCAACCTAGCAGGTAGAGTGATGAAACAGCACTGTAGCCCACATCCTGCAAACCTGAGTTTGTGGTGGGCATTTAACTGTAGCGTAGACATGCAGATTTGAATTCATTGATCATACTATATATGAATTCAACCGGGCTGTGATTTCAACCCAGGACCCCAAACAGAGTCCCCTCTTACCTGAAGGCCCTCCTTTTCAGAAATCAAGAAGGTCCTTAATATCTCCTATCTCCAAAATGTTTATATAATAGGGATTGTTCAGGATGGTCAGCCCCAAAACATTTGACAGAACAATTACAGGAGTGCTATTTCTTTTCTTTTCTATCTTATCTCAGGCTTTTTGCATGTTGAAGATTGTTATGAATGTTTTAGTTTACTATTCTATTTAAAATAAGTTCATACTTTTCAAATTAATTTTCTAGTCTGTTAATACTGTAAAATTTCAAAATGGGAGTTTACGTAAATCTATTCTTCACTCCTATATACTATGCAAACACAGGAGCGGACAATTTTTAAAGATGTCCTCCTCAAAAGGCTATTTTTTTCCTTCACTGTAATGATTGAGACGCTAAAGGTTTTGGTCTTTTTCTTCAAAAGAATTCTATCCTTTGCATCTACATTCACTTCAGAAATACTAAGACTTGCACTACACTAGAAAATTAGGTCTGTTTATCTACATCAATGAGGACTGTGAAAAATCCATACCTTTAAACGGCATAGTTAAGCTGACCAAAGTCCCTCTGTAGACAGTAGAAGGTTGATGGAAGGATTCTTCCATTGACCTAGGTATTGCCTCTTAGGAAAGTGGATTACAGGTTTAATCACTAAAATCTGGGCCTGGTTTAATCATCCTTTCGGACCATGGATGTTGCTGGACCAGAGAGGCCCAGATTGCCACGTTCAGGGGCGGGGATGATCGTGGGGAGATCAGCCCTGGCTGGGGCCGATGGCAGGGAGCACAGCACTGGTCAATGGGGACTGGCAGCATAGCCCCAGACTGGGCTGGCATAGTGGGGAGTGTAGCCCCGGCTAATACGTAATAGTGTAGCAAGAACGCAGCCCCAGCCAGGGTCAGCACGCTTGGATCATAGGCCTGGCAGGGCTGGGGGTAGTGGGCCCGTGACGGGGAGCAGGGCCAATAGCCAGGAGAGGAGCCTTAACCTCCCCTAGTTTGGCAAACTCTGTTGTTCAGACTGCTCAGGTCCTGAGGGTGCTGGATCAGGGACGTAATGGTTCTACCAATGCCAATAGGAGAAACTCTCCCATCAGTATAGGTAATGTCTACACTGAAGCACTGCAGTGATGCCTCTGTGCTGCTGTAGCATTTAAGGATGCGTCTTTACTGCAGGGCTTAACTTGAAATAAGCTATGCAGATTGAGCAACGTCCATTGTGTAGCTTATTTCAAAATAGCTTATTTCTAAATAGGGAGTGTCTACACAGCACTTATTTTGAAATAGAACACTTTTCCTCTGACTTCCCTTACTCCTCGTACAATGAGGGTTACGGGAGTTGGAGTAAGAAGTCCTCTAGCTTGACAGTATTTTCACACTATTTCAAAATAACTGCCTGCTGTGTAGACACGACGAAGTTATTTCGGAATAGCGCTAGTTATTTTGAAATAGAGTTGCAATTTAGACGTACCCTAAGTGTAGAAAAGACCTTAGTCTTCCCTTCTTTGTGTTTGCAGAACTAGAGAACTGCAGTGAGAGCTCCCTCAACCGTACCTGAATGGATAGGGGTATCAGAATCTTTAACTAGAGCTCTTTTCCAAGAGCATTTCTACACCAGGAAATTATTTCAAAATAACTAAATTTGAAATAACTCCCAAAATAACTATTTTAAAATAAGCTTATTCCCTGAGGAAAGCAGAAGTACAGATTTCTAAATAACCAGCCCGTTATTTCAAAATAACGGGCTTGGTAGAGTGGATGGTCTGCTTATTATTTCAAAATAAGGGGGGTTATTTCAAAATAACTTCCTAATGTAGACCATGGCCAAGTGATTATCAGGAGTTTGTTTGTCTGCTTTCATTAATGTTATTTTAGTCAAAGGATTGTAATCAGTCTGACTAAAATCCACTTTCCCATAGCACCAGTTCAGGTTTTAGTTTTTTATGGGTGTTTATCCTAATGATTTTCCAATCAATGAATACTCTAGCAAACACAGGCTCAAAAATAGCTGATATTTCTAATGCCAAGATAAGAAGAAATCACTTTGGAAAGTTAAAAAAACAAAACAAAACAAAACTTTTTTCATTATGTCAGAATCAATCTATTCTTGTTCTGTATAGGTCACATTTAAAACAAAAGCATCACAAGCAAAGTACCAGTTACATTTTCACTGTGATACGAGTGACAACAACAACATTCTGTAACATGAAGAATTGCCTGAATAAAGTATTCAGATTCCAAAAGAAGATCAACACCACTTAGAGTCTGAAAGAGTACTGTCTCAAACCTGGAACAAAATAATAATTTCAGATGTCTAGACTTAAACAACATAGGCCATAAAATACAACTTGGTAAATATCCATGCCAAGTAAGGTTTTATTTTTGTAGCAATTATTCAGGTGCATTACTCTATGCTAGACTTGAGGTATTTTTAAAACAATGCCATTAAATCATGTTTTGATAATAGCAAGTTAAATATATGGAGAATAAACAACATAATCTACATCACTTATTTCAAAACAGATTCAAATTTTTGCAATTTTTTTTTAAAAAGAGGGACTGGAAAGGAGTAATCCTCATTAAATTGATTAAATGCCACATTATATATGGAAATGAAAAGAAAATGGGAATCATATTAGGCGCTGTTGTTTCAGACAAGACAGAAAACACAGACAAGAGCATATCACCACTATGGGTGAAAGCCAAAATATTTGCCCAGACAGTTTATGATTTATTTTTCATTAAGCAAAACAGACAAATGTCCAGAAGTTCTGTAAATAAATGAAAGGAGACAGATTGTTGGCCTTTCAATATTTGTATTGGATAGTTGTTTTTTACTCTAAGGCAGGGGTGGGCAAGAGGCAGCTAGCGAGCTGAATCCGGCCTGCCTAGCCACTGGATTCGGCCTGCAGCCACCTCACTGACTCGCTCACTACACAGCAGCTCACGCCGCTTTAATGACTGGTTGCCAATTGCTATGGACACTAGGGACGGATGGGGAAACATTGAGCGCTGTCCTTTCCCCCTAGAAAAATCCCTCAGCTCCCATTGGCCAGTTTCTGGCTAACAGGAGCTGAGAAATTTTGTTGGAGGCAGGGGCAGCAAGTGATGCTTTCTCCCTTCTTCACTCTCCCTCCCCGTTCTCGAGCAGAGCTACTTGAAGCAGCTAGCTCAGTAGACAGGCATGAAGCCTGTCTCAGGTTCCTGCAGGGCTGCTGGCTGGGAGCTGCCTAGGTAAGCATCTCCCAGAGACAGAGCCTGTCTCTGGTACCTCATCTCCTCTCTCCCCCCAACTGCCCCAGACCACCATCCCCTCCTGCCCCAGGTCACCAGCCAAACCCTCTGTACGCCCTCTCCCCACCTCCTCCAAGTCACAACTCCCTCCCAGACTCTGTACCCCCTCCTACACCTCTCCCCCAGACCAGAATCCTCTCTTGCACCCCAAGGCCCTGCCCCAGATCAGAACCCCTCCTTCACCCAAATTCCCTTTCAGACCCTACACTCCCTCCTACACCCTAGTTCTCTATCCGAAGCTCCTTTCTACACCCCACCCATCGTCCCAGACCTGCACCCCATATACAGAAGTGCAGTCCTTGACCACTTACCAAAATCTTGGAGTGGCTCCCCATTAAAAATTATTGCTCACCCCTGCTCTAAGGACTAGACTACACTTTAAAGTTAACTAGGATTTTGAATTCAAAGTGCAAACGCTATTTCTGGAATAACTCCATGTGTAGACAAGTCCTAAGAGTGAGGAGAATTCTTACAGAGGTTGGGCTCTGCAGAGCGAGAGAGGCAGGTTTTAATTGAGATAAGCTAAATGGTTATGCAATTGAACAGCTAGAGCAAGGAAATGGTTATTTTAAAAATACAATTAAAATACTGAGATTCCATTTTACAAAGTGCCTGAGTTTATTTATACAAGTTTCCATAGCGATTATCCAAAATATGCATTTTCAGGAAAATTCTTGCAAAAAGCAATATTTTATGGCTGCATGCAAATAAATAGCTACCTGTGTTAAGAAAAGTATCTAGTAACAGTATTCCCTCTAGGGATGTTAAAATTAATCAACTAATTGAATAGTTGATAGAATTCCATCGACTATTCACTTAGTCAATAAGGGTACTTTTGCTTTGAAATGTAGCAGGAGCCCACCTGGCTCTTGCTATATTTCAAAGGCGGAAGTGCCGCACGGCATTTCAAAAACTGAGTCTATCACTGGCCCCAGGCTCCATGCGGTACTTCTGCTTTGAAATGTACGAGAGCCCCAGTGGGGACTCTTGTACATTTCAAAGGTGGAACACCGCCACTGCACCCCTGCTCTCTCCCACAGAGTTGGAGCTGGGGGGAACTGGCTTTTAAGCCAGCTTCCCCCAGTACCCGCCTCTTCTTCCCCCTCCCTTGCTGCCTCTTTCTGATAGACTAGTCACTTAGATCCCTAGTTTCCTCTAAGATGCATGGCAGCACAGTTTCGCAATGATTAATCAACCCCGCCCAGTCAGTAGCACTGTGCATGGAGCCCTGAGCCTCTGCCTGGCAGGGGCTGATTAATCACCTGTGAAGCTGTGCTGCCATGCAGCTTAGAGGAAACACTTATCTAGAAGTGATTTAAGGCCCCAATCCTGCAAAGATGAAAGAATGTATATGAGAGTCATGCATATGATCTATCTCATTGACTTTAATGGGGTTACTCCAGGAGCGGGCAATAATTTCTGTGGGGCATGGGTGCACTCCAAGAATTTGGTAAATAGTCATGGGCCACATTTTTCTAAGGGTATGTCTACACTACCACCCTAGTTCGAACTAGGGTGGTTAATGTAGTCATTCGAAGTTGCAAATGAAGCCTGGGACTTAAATATCCCGGGCTTCATTTGCATCTTGCCGGGCACCATCATTTTTAAATCCCTGTTAGTGCGGACTCCGTGCCCGCAGCTACACGCGGCACGGAGTAGGTAGTTCGAATTAGGCTAATTAAAACTACCGTTACACCTCATTCCACGTGGAGTAATGGTAGTTCGAATTAGAAAGCCTAATTCGAACTACCTACTCCGTGCCGTGTGTAGCCGCGGGCACGGAGTCCGCACTAACGGGGATTTAAAAATGGCGGCGCCCGGCAAGATGCAAATGAAGCCCGGGATATTTAAATCCTGGGCTTCATTTGCAACTTCGAATGACTACATTAACCACCCTAGTTCGAACTAGGGTGGTAGTGTAGACATATCCTAATATATTAACAGATGAGGTGCAGGATCTGGGACGGAGTTTGGATGAAGGAGGGAGTTGTGGTGCAGGTTCTGGGAGAGGGTTTGGGTGCAGGAGAAGTCTGCAATGTGGGGCAGAGTTTGGGGTACTGGAGGGGTGCCAGGTGCGAGTTCTGACCAGGCAACACTTACCATAGGCAACTTCTGACTGGCAGCCCAGCAAGGTGCTCAAGCAATTTGCCTGACTGCTGTGGCCCCATAAACTGCTCAAAATGGCTGGCAGCTGAGGCAAATGTGTCTCCTTGCACAGCACAGTGTCTACATGTGCTGTCTGCACACACAAGGACTGTCACTGTAGCTCCCATTGGCTGGTTTCTGGCCAACAGACATATAAGGATGGTGCTGGGAATGGGGGCAGTGCGCAGATACCCACTATCCCTCTCCCACCAAGGGCCATGCATGCAGAGACATGTTTGCCCCAGCAACCAACCACTTTGAACAGCAGCAGGCAGGCAGGCAGGCAGCTTGCCTAAGCACCCCGCTGGGCCACGGGACATTAGTGACCTGGAGGGTTATTTTGACCAAGCTTAAAATGAAGCGCATGCTTGCATGCCATATTGGATTGGGGCGTAAATGTACAACATACAGTTTAAAATAAGAACACAAGGTGATTTATTATACTAAAACTTCAAGTGTTAAGTGAGTGTTTTTATTATTCTCTGAGCAGACCATACATTCTGAAAAACTCCTAGGATACCTCAAAACTTAATTCTATTTCTTGCATTATGAACATATGACGTTTTTGAATACTGAAGTTATAAAATACAGCATGTTTGAAAGCCTGGAGATTACTGTGGAACATAAGAAATCACTAAGATAACCATTACCTTGCTTAATGAATCATACCTGAATGAGTGGCAATGACATCTAACTGTAATAATTCTGGAGAATAGCAGTTCCAATGATCATGTGATACAGATACCCATTCCATAAGTTGATCTATATGTTGTTTATAGAGATCAATAAAACCATGCAAATGCTGTACCTTAGCTAATAAACACATTGACTCTTCTACCTGTTTAGAACAAACAGAAACCAAACCAGGTGAAATTAACCAAAATGTCAGTTAAAAAAAAACCATTTTTATAAATTTATGAAGCAGACCATAATGTTATAACCACCAAGAATTAAGGGAATAGTATAGGCATGTCTGTATGCATCAGATCTTTTTAGCTTTCTCTATATATACATAAAAAGATTTTTCCTGTGGCACAAGACTGTGATGTCATCATGCCATTCTGTGTCGCCACACCCCCAACTCCAAACCCAGAAAATGCCTCCCCCCACCGACCAACCTCTCACTATACTACCAGCTCCGTTGATAGGCTTCCCCGCTGACCGGCCTCTTCGTCCATAGCCCTACCGACTGCAGCCCCTCCAGGCCTGTACGCAGCAGGGTGCAAATGCACACTCCCATGTCCCTCCAAGTGAGCATAAGGCTGGGGTGGCATGTTGCCTCAGCCCTTCTACTCTGTGGTTTGGCTGACCGAGAGTGGAAGCTGCAAACTGCCACACAGCATCTCTCTCCCTGTCCCAGAGGAGGCAGGAGCCACGCGGCCTCCCCACTCCTGGGAGAGGGCGAAAGCCACGTGGCCTCCCCCTCTCCGGTGTTCCAGGAGGGTGGGCGCCGCGTGCCTTCCCCCCCCTCCCTGTACCCCTCACACACTCCCTTAGCCAAGAGCCATGGCTGATGCACCACAACTGGGCCCCACCCAGCGGCAGGGGGAACCAGGGCTGGGATGACCTCAGTCCTGGGCCCTCCCTCCCCAGCAGCTGGGGAGGGGCGAGAAAGAGCTGGAACCATCTGGGGGGGAGGGTGAGAGGGCGGGAAGAGGGGCGATCGAGAACCGGGTTTGGCCAGGCCCTTCCTGACAGCCAGAGGTGGGGAAGAGCTGAGGCGAGGACAGCAGAGAGGGGGGCTGGCGAGCGTAGCGAGCAGGGGGCACACAGACCCCTAGCTTTTTTTAAATATAAGAAAATTCAAGAGACAAAGAATCTCTCATGGTTTCTTAGTAGGGCAGTCACGGTCAATAGCTAAACATAATTAATTACAGCATCATTAATTACATCTCTGCTCATCTGAGGAAGTGGGTTTTGCCCATGAAAACTCATGATACTATAAATACATTTTGGTTAGTCTCTATGGTGCTACAGGACTACTCATTAGCATTACACCTGTTAACTTTAGTTTTAAAATGGAAACATTGCTTTTGGCTTCACTATGACATCACACAGAATACTGCAATCCAAAATCAAAACTGGTGAAACTCAACATCACATAAAAGAAGTTCAAAGCCAATCAGAATTGCAAAACAGTTACTTTTCCATATAGTTAAGTAGTGATTTCGGCTCCAACTCAATAATGCTTAAAACAGTTATATAGGAAGTGACCTTCCACCTGCATGCACAGCTGTTCCAATCCAAAGCCGAGGACTATTACTTCTTGGATCAGCCAAAATGTTTTTTTTTGTAAGAAAAAAACATGCTACATACCCCATCTTTCCAGTTGCTAAATTGTCTTCATTTTTACATTCCACTAATGCAATCTTTCTGTATTTATATACAAAGTTTTTCCTGAGGGACAGAGTGATGTCATGCATCACTCTGCATCCTGCAGCTCCTCCCTCCGTCCTAAGCCATGTGGCCTCCCCCATGTTGGGGGGAGGGCAGGAGACATGTGGCCTGTAGCTAGGCCTGCTGCAGCTTTGGCCTTGCCTGGCCCCACCCTCTGTGGCTGGGGGGAGAGAGTCAGGCCTGCTGCAGTGAGGCCTGGCACAGTGGGCAGGGGCAGGAGCAGCGAGCTGCCTGGCTCCCAGCTTCCCCCTCCCGGGTGCTCTGGGCAAAGGCCGCGCAGCCTGCCTACTTTGTTCCTGAAGTGGGGCTGTGGGGAGCAGACAGGGTTGCTGTCTATCCTGCGGCATCTCGGGCTGCTTCGGAATTGGCAGTGGCAGGGCTGGGCTGTGGTGGGCAGCTGGGAAACAGGGCAGCCTGACTCTGCATATGGCAGCAGCCTCCCTCTGCCCGCTCGGTCCTGGGTGCCTCAGGTCGCAGCTGGAGCCACTTGAGAAGAACAGAGGGAGGTGAGGCCTCCGCTTCCCTCTCAGCGAGCTGGGGCTGCACCACAGGATCGGGCCCCAGGTAGAGGCTCACTGCAGCCTGGAGTAGCTGGAAGGCTGCAGAGGTGCCTGTGTTCCCCTGTGCGCCCTTGGCTGCAGGTCGCTGGTAGGCGAAGAGGGGGTGGGTTGGCTCTCCACCTCCTCCTGTGAATGGGACTCCTAGCCCAGTCCCACAGCACCACCTGAATGGTAATGCCTTCACTGGGCGAGCAGTGGGGTGGGGGTGGGAACCGACCCTCTCCCGGCTCCATGCTGCACAGGCCAGGGGCTAACCCCTCCTCCCTACACCAGCC